GGTGAGTCTTTATTGAGTTAGAGCAATAAGTTGTAAAAATTTAGTACATTGTATATAAATTTTATAGCAGTTCACATGAATAAAGGCAGGATCGCTTAAAAATATATATTTATATATATCTCTTTAAACCTTAAATTATAAACATTATTCATTAAGCCACTTGTCACATGATCTAGTATTGCCAAATAAAGTATCTAAAGTTTTAACTACCCACTAGCCAAATTTAATTCACCTCTTTTATAAAGTTATTAATATCAGTTATTCAAGTTTCTAGATTATAAAGTGATTAAGTTGCTATTTTCTTAGTTATTACAATATATAAAATGTATATTTTTTATGTTTTTGAATAGAAAAACACTATATTTTTTATATTTTTTAAAATACAAAATAACATTTTCTGTGTATTAAAATATAGTATGTTTTTCTGTTCAAAAATACAAAAAGTATTTATTTTATATATTCTTATATATATTTCTCATCTTCCAGATTTCTTTCTCTTAGTATATACTTTTAGAATATATATATTTTTTTCTCTAGTACAACTTTGATAGCAGATTAGTAGATCTATTTATTGTAAAATCTTATTGGCCAATTTTACCAATTCTTTAGTTCAATCTAAATCTGTTCTGTAGTACTATTAAAGATTTTTACTACTTTTTTACTCAGATCTTGCCAAACCAGCTTTAGATCTTCAAGTTTTTTTTGTTAGTTTTATATAATTCTAGAAGTTTTATTATAGATTTGTACTATTTAAACAAGTTTGCAATTTTCTATTTAATACAGATTTTTCTAGAATCTTTCAATATACAAGATTAATTGATATAACTGAAATTACAGATAATAGAATCTGACTTATCAGTCATATAATATATTATACAGATCATGTGCAATATGGAGTCAAATGATTAATGCATCTAAATTTTATATATAAAATTTAGAAAAATTTTACTTTTTGGGTTAATTTAATAATAAAAAATTTGTCAACTTAATTTTTAGATATTATTTGTAATTTTTGAAGATTCTTAATATAAAATTTAAAAAATAGTTTAGAATAAAATAAAAAATAATCTTAATCATTAAGTTAGTCTATTTTTTATGATTTTTACTATCTGTTTATAAGTAATACATATTATTTTACCAAAATAAGTAATTAGGACTATCAACTAATTAACAAACCTAACTATCTATTTTGGTAAAATGATATATTTTACTTATAAACAAATAGAAAAATCATAAAAAATAGACCAACCTCATGATCAAGATTATTTTCTGTTTTATTCTAAATTAGCTTTAAATTTTATATAAAGAACTTTTAAATGCTAAAGAAATTACAAATAATATCTAAAAATTAGGTTAACAAATTTTTTATTATTAAATTAATACAAAAAGCAAAATTTTTCTAAATTTTATATATAAAATTTAGATGTGTCAATCATTTGATACCATATTAAAAATTTTATACACATAATCTGAACAACATATCATATGGCTGTTATCATTAAAGAACTGTTATCATAATACAAGTATTTTTGTCTAAACCATCACCAATGGAATTCAAACTCAGTACCATAGTCAAGCTAGCTTGGGGTGTAACAACTCTATTACTACTTTAAGTTGCTACACCCAATATTATTAATTTAGAGGCAGCAGATGCTATATAATTTATTATCTTTTAGTTGTTTTTGATTTCTAGAAAAATTTTATATTCTTTTATTCTATATATTTCAGAATACTGCTAGACTTACGTAATATAACTATTGTTTATTTGATTTTATTTTTAGATAACACTTTGAAATTTATCAATTATAAGTTTGTTAGAATAGTATTAAATCATTGTAAAAATTAATTCTATAGAGTTTTTTATTTTATATATTTAAAATGGGATATGGGAAGATGTGGTAAAAAATTAGGACACAATGAAATATTGGGAGCATTGATAAATTGAGAATACGCAAAAAATTGGTGTTATTGTTGTATATTTATATTTTAAAGTTATTTAAGAAAGTTAAACAATATAAATAGAAAATATGGTTAATTGACATTTACGACAATATGGAATATTGCAACACAGAATATTTATGCCTTTACAGTATTCAAGATTTTATTCATAATTAATTATGGCATATGCCACAATGCCATAATCTATTAATTACAGTGTCAATTATATATAATGTGTTCTAATTTTAAATTTTCGAACTTTGAATATAATTTGTTTCACCCGTTTCTGGTTTTAGCGCAACTACATCGCACAGCCACCTTATTATTATGGATATTGTTTAAATTGGTTTAGACATTATCAGCCCTTGTTTATGACTTGATATAGTTACTATATTGCGAACCATTACTTATTTAACCTCTCAAAAAGATTTGTATGCAGTATATATATACTCTACCATCGTTATAACGGACCCTGATATAGCGGATACCTTATTATAACGGAGTATTTTTCTAAAACAATTTAAAATTATTATTATTATTTTATATAACATTATAACGGATATTCATTTTTTACGGATATAATGGACAAAATTTTTCAGCCCGAAGGGTCCATTATAACGAGGGTAGAGTGTATATCTATGTTAATAATCGTTATCTGCTGTGTATTATTTACACTTATGTGTATACTATATCAAAAATTAGATAAATATACCTTAAATACTAATCTTAATATGAAAATTTTAAAACTTTTATGTACAACATATATAAAAAGATTTATAAAAATCTTAAAAATATGTAGGTGCAAAAGACCATAACATATTTTATAATAATTAATAAATAAAAAGGTAGAAACAGAATGTACAAAATAATAATAAAATAAAAAGTAAGTGTATAAAATGAGAGTCGCCCAACGAAAGCCGGGAAGTCCAAATATAAATTACTATACATTATTTAATATATCTATAGATTTTTGATTTTCACTTGGTGTATCACTTTTATCCGTCTTCTTGATTTTGCTGAAAATATTTTTTACAACGTAATCGACGATAGAACCTCCTATTTAATTAATTGTAATTGGTTTTGAGTTGAAAAGCTTTAATTTTTTAGTGAGTATAAATATATGTCCTAACATACCGAAAGCTAAACTATAAATTCCTGCTAAAAGCGTCCAAACACCGCCAAATGAACCAACGGCATTATACACCTGTGTTTGTATAATAATTAGTGAACTTTTAAAATAAATTTTATCAAATGCATGCAATTAAAAGAAAAAAAAAAGCTTACCGTATGTAATCTTTTATAAAAGAAATGTTAAAAATTTTAGACTTATGTTATTGATCCATATTTCTATGCATTTTTAAATTCATACATTACTCACCTAATTTCCTTTTGTTTTATTATTACAGAGCTTTGCAGATAAATGCTAACTTGAGTAACATTATTACTCAAGTCAGTGGTGTTGGCAAATTGTTCTAGTGTAATAAATAAATGTTAAAAAGTACATCACACCTTTTAAGCAAGTATATTTTATTTCTTACGTAATTGACTTGTAAGATAGTAGTAATTATCAAGTCGTGGTGGGATTCCTAAGAAACTTGCAAAAACCCAACTAGGTTTAACAACTTGAATGAGTGATCGAGAGAATGTGATTTGGTATCCCTATATGTAAGATATAAATGGCAGAAATGCTTAAGAATAAGTTTACTTTATTATCAAATATAACGTATTTTAACTCACTCTCGACGGTAGTATATAATAGAAGTTTTGGTACGCATATGATTGTTCGTATTTATTGTACCTGTCGTAAATGGGAACAGAATTTAAGTTGATTCAGAATTTTTAAGGTTAGGGTTTGAATTTTAATATAGTCATTCCGTTCTAATCTAAATGGATTCAGAACCTATCTACAACATACCAGCTAAGATTATTGTTGATCAGATTCAACAAATCCATTTCTTCTACAAAGGGATTATAATCCCTATCAAACAATGCAATTCCGAGATCGACATTGTTGGAGTAGTTTAAAGTTATATTAAGCTCCTCTATTGATCGGGCTCGAAAAGGATTGTGATATAGAACGAATTCAGGAATTCGTTCGTTCTTAATACACCAAAAAAATGTGCGGTTTGTAAGGCTAAAGGAGTTATTCATATTATGGTAACTCCCTTCGCAATCATTATATGTGCCAGTTTCATTTGCTAATCTATAAATACATTTCACGTCAAATGAGATGCTTGAGGAAACTATCAAATCTTTATAAACATTTGATAATCCATTAAATTATCAAGAGAAGTGAAGAAATAAAGGAATGAATTTGATTTAATTATCAAAAATGCGACATAAACTTTAATATTGGTTTCAAATTGATACCTGGAACTGGAATATTGTCTTCAGAATCGTCAAAGGAAGTTTGGAGTACCGGCCGATCCGTGATAATATTGTATATCAATATTATGATATACGATATCATTATCATCACAGACATAATGAATGCACAGTGGTTTAAATTATTCTTAATGAATGGCATAACTTTCTGATTTTACTGTGTTAACGTATTAATTATGCATTAAAAAATAAAATAAGAAAAAAAAAATAAATACGATAATAGCTTCACTAGTCTTTTTTTACCATGGTTGTACATTTTGATGTCCAAGCCATTTTGACATATCCAACGTATAATTCAGGAATATATTTGCATTTTACAATTAATGGATAAGATTTACTGTACTAATTTTAGTGCATTTTACTAAATTATAACATACTTTATACTTAATTGTTTATATGTTTTTGTTTGTTTTGAAAATTTGTTCTAAATATAATATTTACTATTTTTACAACAGAATTTTTAAAATTTTAATTCGCGATTCGCGAGAGATGTACAGAATTTCTATATGTAGAAATGGGGCAATTTAATAGTAAAAACAATTAATTTCTATAATCTGGAGCCGGAATAAAAATTTCTCAAATTCTGTCAAGTTAACATCTTTTGTATTTTTAACAAAATTGTAGAAGCAAATTTTCTCTTTCTAATGATAGTAAAATCATCAAAATTGGCCTGATGGATCGTGAGATATTCCTATTTTTGTCTTTACGATTATATGAAATTTTCTTTGCAAATGTGAAAAAAAATTTCATATAACTACAAAGACAAATATAAGAATATCTCGCGATCCATCAGGTCAATTTTGATAATTTTATTACCATTAGAAAGAGAAAAATTGCCTCTGCAAGTTTTGTTAGAAATACAAAAGATGTTAACTTGCCAGAATTCGAGAAATTTTAATTTCGGTTCCAGATTATAGATATTAATTGCTTTCATTATATTTAATATCCCCTCATGTATGTATAGTATTACTATAGTAATTCTTTCCATCCCTCACGAATTACTAATTAAATATTATTTAAAAATTTGATTAAAAAATTTTTTAATTATATAATATTAAAATCATTAATTTTCAGCTAATCTCTATAAGCTAAAAGAGTGATTTAACTTCAGAACTATTACAGTATTATTACTATATTCGGTTTAAAAATATAACTAATTTTTTACTTAATATATATTATTAATAAAATAAAAATTTAATAAGATAATGATATTATAAAATTAAATAAGGTTGTTCTAGATATCAATATATGAACAGTAATTAAATATTTTACAGTAAAATTTAACCGGAGTTATATACTCTGGGTAAAAACTATGGAATTATAATTTGGAGTAGTAACGCAGAGTGAACTCTATACTACTCTGGATCATTCTGTTAATAACCCTACAAATGCCAAAATATTTATTGAAAGATAATGTGTACAGTAATTAGATCCAATATTTAACAAGAGTGTGCAGTGTCAGATACTTTGTAATCACGAACTAAACAGATGATGATCTTTGTGGCCTGGAAGTAGATACAAGTACGGTGTCAAGTCTTAAAAGGACGGACGTAAAGCTTTTAAATACTATAGAAGGCTTTCAAATTAGGACGATAAAGAGTTGTTTTGGGCTGGCTTCTGTTACAGCTGGTAAATAGGAGTTAGGAAGGGAAAGAAATGGCTTTGAATATTACCTGAAATCTACTGAAGTTGGTAATTGTAGCGAAATTTGTAAGACTGCAAATTGTACAGTAAATTTTTAGAAGAGGCCGAAAAGATTAACATAAATTTTTTTTTTTTATAAAATATGTGAAAATTGTATATATGCAATACATATCTTTCAGATGCCAAAACATGCAATCCTGATATAACAATTCGAAGATATAGAAGTGGAAAAACAAGGATATTGATGATTGCATGAAAAAGTTTCAGCTTAAAATTAGAAATTATGAGCATATGATGAATAATTCCCATTTGTTAAACTAAATAATTTTAAAAAAATTGGCAAAGAAGTATTTTTGCTCGGCATATTCTGCAACTGGGTTGAATGTCTAAGAAAAGTTAATGTTAAACCAGATAGGCAAAAATTATTCGAAAAAAATATTATAAATTATAATAATGAGTAAATCATTTTCTTTATTTCTTGAACAAGTTGAATTATAATTCTATATAGCTTATCAAACACTTACTGAACTAATTCATCTTTAAAATTTTTAAAGCTTAGCTATCATATAAATTGTAAAGAATAGGGTATAGATGATAGTCTAATAATGCAGGCTTTCATAATAGTATTATTTTGTTAAAGAGTATGCATGAAAAATGATCGGGAAAGGTTATTTATGAAGTTTCGCTTTATATAACCTCTGAGATTTTATTAGATCAAAGGTTGTCAGAATGATAGCAAAGACCATTTGATAGTCATAAAAGGACTGGGACTAGAATTTGCTCTCAGAAATCTTTGTTGCATCGAATTATCTAAGCAATGCATACCCTTCTGATTCACAGCAAAAGAAGGGGATATGCCAAAAAATTTTTTTTAAAAAAAACCCCAATATCTTGAAGACTTAGATTTATTAGAATAAAATTATTATAAAATTAAAACATCTGATTTCCCTTCTTTAACTGTGCGAGGTCCCAAATGCGACCTGATGTTTTTTCACTTAGAAACAGCATAAGCTTTTTTAAAATCGACGAAATTTAAAAACAAATCCTGGAATCGATAAATAATCGAGGATCAACCGATCCCTTCGTTCAGACATCTATATCATACATAACTAGCGGCAAATCAACACGAAAGAAATCATAACTAGATTTCAGAGTCTAAAAAGTTACCAAGAAACTAAATTGAATCAAGAGAATGCTCCTATCAAGTTCTTAAACGATATATAAAATTTTAAATACTAGTTTCAAAATTGCCTTCACTTTGTGAATCTATTAAAATCGACTTTGTTATAATTAAAGAGACAAAGCTACAATCATTATTATTTTGATTGATAAAAGAGATAAGTTTGCTGGGAAACGTTTTTACAACTTATACTTAGAGTAAACACGCGTGGATTTGATTATTATAACTTTATCACAAATAATTGTGGTAGCGCAGCTCTTGGGTTAATTAAGGTCCCAACTCAGGAATGATAATTGGTGAATATAATTCTCTAGGTTTGTGAAATATAATTACAACTATAATAGGGTCATCGTTATGCGCACTAGGAAACGACTGATGATAGATGAGTTATTATGTGTCGTTTATTGATTCCTGTAAATTCAGAGTCAATATGTGTCATTTGTGAATCAATGAATAACGTATTCATTTATAAGCCTTGACAATTTATTTATCTTTTTAACATACAATATTTATTATCTAGCGATGAAAATCAAAATTAAATGCTAAAAAAAAACAAAAAAAAAAAACAAAAATGCAACACTTTAATATTTCTATTTATTTATATTTTTTTTAAAAAAAGAAATTATTAAATAAAATGAAAGTTAATTATGCCTTGTTTAAATAATTTAACAATTTTAATATATTAGCAGGATATAACTACATCATCTTGAAAAAAAAATGAATTAATTCTCTTAAATGCTGTTGCAACAAGTCAGTTTGTAGAAAAAAATTAGCAATTAGTTTGTACGTATGCATATTTTATGTAGTAATCTTTTCACATAAAATACATACCTTTAGAATAGTAGACATTTAATAAAAAAAAAAAGCAATTATATTGAAATAAGCACAGTATTCATATAAATTAAAAATTAGCCTATACCACGAAGTTGTTTTTAGAGTTATGTAAATATTTTATGTATATTTTATTTAAAAATTATATATAGATCTATAATTATAAATAAATTCATCTAATAGTTATCTAAAATTTAATAAATATAATGTTATATTTAATAGTCAAATAAATAAATTGTTAGATGAAATGAAAGTTATAATTAGAGTTTGAGTAAAATTATGAGAGGATCATTTTTTATTAGTAACACAATAGGTGGTTACCTTAGTAAAATTTTGAGATACGTATTAGCTAATTCCTCTTTCAAAATTTATATTAAGAATATACAAAGATTATATAATTATATATGTAAAATTATTAATATATGAAATTTAAATAGAGGGTGTGGTGACTTAGTGAAGTGGTGGAGTTGTCGCACCCCCAGACAGCAGGTCTAGAGTTTGAATCCCACAGATGATATTTTCGAAAAATAGCCCTGTGATATGGTTAACAGCTATCACTATCAGTTGGATCCTAATCTATAACCTTGGTCACACCATCTTGAATAGGAGCTTTGGTGCAATAAATCCAAGGAACTGAAATAACTGAAAACCCATTTGGCAAGTCCTGAGTTGGGAAGTAGCAGTGATCTTCAACAGTGCTACAGGAAGACTGAATTTGAAACTGGAGATCAAGATCAGAAAACTGAGTGACCAGGTACTTAAGTGGGGGAACACACTAGCCGGACCACCAGCTGGCCACTGGAGAAAAAGGACTAGTACTCTGGAAGCATGTACCAAGGAGAGGGAGACCATAAGGCACCTAGAGCCTGGGCAGACCAACCCTTCTAGGTTGCTGGCTGGAAGTAAGGGAGAGACTAGTAAGGAATCTGGGAAAGAAGGCAGTTGGAATGTGGGTACTGGGACTATTGTAAACCTTGCAAGGGCAGGAGTATGTAAGTGGAAACTAATTAGAAAGATTGTGGTTTGAGATACAGATTAGGTTATAGCAGTATCTGAAAGGATAGTTTGAGATACGAACCTGGTGATGGCAGTACAACATATACTAATTGGGGAAAGTTACCAAACATGCAGGTGAGCACATGTGTGGGACATGTATTACACTGTTAGGTTTACCACAAGGATAAATACCCCAATATGGTTTGGCTAAAGTCTTAGAGTCATTCATAGCAATAGCTAATCTCATATAAGTATTAGGGTAAGGTGTGTTACAAAAGTAGTAGCCAAAGGATTTAAATGAGTAACTTTCTAGTTAGGTTATAGATATGGCAGCTAGTGTGGAACCTAGGGCTGACTACTTAAATAGATAACCAAAAGTTGCATGTATAGCTAGTTGTACTCTCATTAGAAATAACCAAAGAGTTTAAATAAGTAATTTTCTAATTAGATTGTAGATATGGCAGCTAGTGTAGAATCCAGGCAGACTACTTAAATTAGGCACCCAAAAGGTGCATATATGGCTAGTTGTATCTTCATAAAATAGATGTAATATCATAACTACCTGAATAAAGCTTATGCCAATAGCCTAAGTAGTCACTTTAATATATAAAAAAATAAAATA